TACATTTCAAGTTTCAACAAAATCGGATTAAAATTGTGACCTCTATAGGGTCCACAACCTTGATATACCATATTTTACGCTATTTGAGAACGAACGGCGGCCATTTTGTCTGTCAATTTTGGGCCAATTTTCACGAAATTCAAACTCAGCCGTCTTTAGGGTGTAACGGTGATATAATAATACGGTTTTTTTAAATCGGATAAAAAATTTGACCTCTATAGGGTTCACAAGCTAAAAACGCGATTTTTTCGTACAATCAGGGGCCATAATCCAGGAAGTTACCGTCCGATATGCGCGAATATCGAAAGGAACCGAGATCTGTGGGTTATAAACGTACATTTCAAGTCTCAACAAAATCGGATAAAAATTGTGACCTCTATTGGGTCCACAAGCTAAAAACGTGATTTTTCGTACAAACAGGGGCCATAATCCATGAAGTTTCGATCCGATACATGCCAATATCGAAAGCATCCGAGATCTTTTGGAGATAAACCTATATTTCAAGTTTCGTCAAAATCGGATAAGAATTGTGACCTGTAGAGTGTCCACAAACAAATTGTGGACGGACGTCCGGACGGACAGGGGCGACGACAATCCACATGAAAATATGGGCGTATAAAAAATAGTAAAATAGGTCAAAAAGTCACAAAGTTACAGCTATGTAGGTCATTTTTTTCGTTCGTAAAATTCGGTGATTTCGAATTCGTAAAACGATTTCAAAATATATTCATTCCAAAGCCACTACCCATTCTTGGTGGGGAGGGGGTCAAAATTTCAGAAAGGACCTACAGTTAGATTCTGAGATATAAGCTTGACAGAGAAAACACACAAAAAACAAAAATAATAATAATAATTTTAACAAAAACAATAAGCTTTCAGATCCTACAGTTAGATTCTGAGATATAAGCTTGGCAGGAAAACACACAAAAAAAAACCAAAAGTAATAATAATACTTTTAACAAAAAGAATAAGCTTTCATACCAAAGCTTCATAAATTTAAATTTAACAGAAACAATAAGCTTTCATGTGAAATATGAAAGCTTGATAATAACTTTAACGAAAACAATGAAATATGAAAGCTTTATAACAATTTTAACAAAAGCAATAAGCTTTCACTTTCATTAATAATAATCTTAGTAATAACAATAATCTTTCACCATCAAATGGTGAAAGCCTAAAATTATGTGAGAAAAAGAGATGACAAATAATCTTTCACCATCAAATGGTGACAGCCTAATAATTATGTGAGTATAAGAGATGACAAATACATGTTAAAAGACCAACTTTCTTTGAAATTAAATTACCAAACATTTTCGTAAATTAAAAGTGGATTATACACAGGTCTTTAAACAGAAACGTGTAGTAATAACGACATTCTTTCACCGCTTATCAGTATTAAACCTGATTAAATTGTTAATATACTCAGCCAAATTAAAAACTTGACACTCGGGATTTTTGGGACTAGATTTTTAATATTTGGTTTAAGGCAACTATTAGTAGGGTGACTCGTGCACTCTACAGAAAGTTGGTTTCGACACGGCTAAATCTAAACGCGTCAGTTGCGTGTCTCGAACTGATTTCTGACTACCCCGCACTCTTTTTGGGTCGATAAATAGCCATGGCACGTGCAATTCTCTACAAATATATCAACTATTACAGCCGTAAAAAATCTATTGTTGACGATTTTGAATAGCTGTAAAATTTAGCTTCTTGGTTATTACAGCAGCTTTAGAAATTACATTTGTTTTATTTTTTAAATTGCTTTATCATTAACTGTACCGTTAAGAGCCGCATCTTTTGGTTTAGTACAAATAATATTTCTGAAACACTCAGGTTAGACAAGAACATGATACTAGCAGTAGTTTCATTTTACTTTTACAAGTTTCTTAAAACAATTGTTGAGTTGTCTAAAGTGCTTATTTCTAAATTCAATTTCTTGTTCTAGCTTTCTGTTATGTTTCGTAAAAAAGTAGTCTTGATTATCCCGACCTGTCAATCAGACGTAGAATGGTCGATAGACAAGGGCACGTAACCTATCTTTTACTCAAAAGTGTCTGGATGTTATGGACGACACTTGGAACCAGTTTTCAGTCTATTATTTATAGATGATTAATGGTCATAGCTTATTAAGTACAACATGATCGTTTATTTAGTGACTATAATTGTGTGAAACTGATTTGAGGCTTGGCATATATATAAATATTGTGGCGTAATTGTCGAGATATTTGGAGATATTTATTTATGGTGGGCCACCCTACAACTATTTTAGTGTTATGTTGTGCACAGACGACCTTGACATCAACAGAAAGCAAGAATATGTCTCGCCGAAAGTCCTTGACATTGATAACGTTCGTGATGTCACAGTACCCCCCAAAATGAAATTCACAGACTTGGAGAACAATCGGAATAGTGTTTAGTAACGGTTGTGGCCTCCTCTAGCGTCTCGTACTGCCACACAACGTCTTCTCATGGATCTCAGAACATTAGTAAACACTACCCGAGGAAGACGTCGCCACTGCTCAGCAAGAGCATGTTGAAGGTCCTGCAACGTCAGTGGTGGATTCACTTGCTGACGAACACGTCGACCCAGTTCGTCCCAGATGTGTTCAATAGGATTAAGGTCGGGGCTAAGCGATGGCCAATCCAGGACTTGGACACCGGCATTTCTTAAAAAATTCTGGGTAGCAATTGCTGTATGGGGTCGAGCATTGTCTTGTTGAAACGTTAGTCCAGGCCCATGTTTCTGCATAAACGGAAGAAGAACAGGTTGCAAAATCTGATCCCTGTACTGGACAGCATTTAAGTTCCCTTGGACAACAACAAGAGGAGAACGTCCATGTGCACAAAAAGAACCCCAAACCATGACGCTGCCGCCACCAAATCGGTCAACTTCTCTGACGCATACTTGAGCGTAACGTTCACCTCGTCGGCGGTACACTCGGACCCTGCCATCGGCAAATCTCAAAGTGAATTGAGATTCGTCACTAAAGACAACCGAATTCCACTCTCTTTGAGTAAATCTTATGTGTCTTGTGGCCCACACAAGTCGGTTACGGCGATGAAGAGGTGTCAATATTGGTCCATTATAGGGCCTCGGAGCTCGAAGACCAGCAGCCTGCAAGCGATTTCGAACAGTTTGTGCAGTTACCCTTCCACCAAACATCTCTCTATTTGTGGAGGTTGCAGTGACAAATCTGTTTCTAAGATGACGTAATCGTGTTGCTTGATCTTCCTGGAGTGACGTCACACGTGGCGCTCCATCCTTGGGCGGTCGGCAATAGTTCCAGTTTGAAGCACTCTCATTCTAAGATTAATTATTGTCTGGCGTGAACAATTAAAGGCTCTTGCAACAGTGACCACAGACTGACCAGCGTAGAGCCTACCTATAGCACGGAGACGTTCTACATTTGAAAGGCGCGGCATTTTCTAACAAAGATGAAAATAACAATTTTAATTTGTTTTTCCAGTTCAAGTTACGTGTGCGTGTTCAGTTTAAGCAAACTTGCATCGATTGACCTCACGAGTTTGTGTTTGCACGTGTTTTTCAGGTTTTTCATCTTTATATGCTCAAAAGTCACGTGATCCACGTGACTTTACAATTTTATGAAATTAAAGGCTTCTTACTACTTACTATCGTTAGAAACACTTTAAAATTTATTTGACTTACCAGAAAAAAAATTTGTTGAAATTCATCAGTGTCAAGTTTTTAATTTGGCTGAGTATATAAGTATTGCCTTAAGTGGTATCCCCATGAAATTTGTCAGAAACCAACATTTTATCTACACATCTATTTTTTATGCCAGGAACATTTAATTTCTTTAGATACACTTTCCCTATCACTTAAAATTTGAATTTCGATAGGATTGATTTTTGTCCAAATCTAATAGGCCTAAATATTTGTCCACGGGCGATTTCTCTGGCACCTTTATCAAAACTTTACCAACGATCCATTTTAAAGACATTGTTTCATAATATGATTTACAAATACGCCTTTCATCAGGGCAGTTTGAGAGAAAATCTGCTTGTGTTTTAGTTCGGCAAATTTGAATTAATTTATTACAATGTAATAAAATTCCCATTAAATTTCTTTTTCTAGTATGGATATTTATGTGTTTTCTCTGAGATATGATAACGTGGGAATTTGGATAAAAAAAAGTGATTCAGTTTCGGAAGTTAGGTGATTAATTCAGTCGTTTTTTAAGTCAAGGTTGAGTAAAATCATTAATAACTGTTTTGTATGTGTTGAAACATAGCCATGTTATGACATAAAACTAAATAAACTAACTACTGTTTTGTCAGTTCTGGTAATTTATTCTATTCTCCGTTTAGTTACGTGATGGCTTGACGATGATTTCACGCAATGACGCTATCCATGCTTTGAGAGAATGCCTTTACTTGCACATCTTCCCTATATGCCAGCAACTTCAATTAATAAAACAGAATTTTCAGCGGTTTTTTAGACAAATTTTGGATGGTAGAGATAGGGGGCCTTTTTTTGAAGCGAGAGATAGGTACACACTTTAACAAATTTGTGTGTACGCGTGTCTTACCCATAACCACAATTTGGATTGCTTACCAAGGGCTCTTTTACGTGCATGCCAACGAATCCACGGATGGATCATTTTTCATCCGATCTGATCGACTATGTCCTTTTTCCTTGCATCCCTGACAAGCGGGAAATGCCGAGGAACTTTCTTGTTGAACCCATGTGCTCCTGGTTTGTGAGCCAGTACCCAACTCACTTAGCCAACCTGACTCATCACAACAAAATAAGAAGTGTTCACAGCCGTTCTAGAAACAGTACAATGTCTCTCATTATTCTCAGAGGGCGGGTATATTATTATGAATTATGAACATAATTATTAAGACTACATAATGTTTTATGACCTTTTTAACTTGGGGTTAAGGGCATTATAAAAATAACAGCCCTCGATGAACGTCTGGAGTATGGCCGAATCAAGTAAACGTGACATTTACCTATTAGTTTTGTATCTTTTCAGACCGTTGCGTAAACAACATCGTATACGTCTACATATATCATTTTTCCTCTCCTTCATCCTAAGTGACATCACAGCTATATTATGGGATGTAGTCGTGACGTATGATCGACTGACCAATGACAGTACGTCTGAGAGTGTTTTGTATCAAAATGGGGTAACTAATTTTTTTCTTAATTTAACTATTTACAAAAAAAACCCTATGTTTATGGAATCCGAAACAGCTATTATTCGTATAATTAATTTAGCCTCATTTCCTTAGTGAAAAAAAAATCAGTAGAAACTGAAGACTAAAATGGGTAAAAGTACAGCCAATCGTCACCTGTTTAAAGTACTTTCGATAGTAGCAACAAGAAATTCTAAAACTGAGAAGCTAATTATACATAGTGGTTTATTGAAATGAAATGAAATGTGGTTTAACGTCCTACTTTTCTGCGTCATTAGTGGTTTATTGTTTCGATGGATATTTAATTGTATTTGTATTTTGTAGACTGGATGTAAGGCTTTGTCCTTTTTCCGGATTTATTGTAAATCCACGAATTACGTCTGGATGTTCTGTGAGGGCTTTTATTTGCATCGCTTAATCAGTAATGCTTTTAAACCTCCAAAATCACTGCTACCCTTGTATCTAACTGGTTGGGGTGAGTATCTTTTTTCCACTCCTCTTTGTAACTGATTGTTTACCAAATACAGTATTATAATGTATATATTGAGCGCAGATTTCACCTCGCGGATAGATTACCCCCGCGCATGCGCGAATCTATGTCTTATTTCCGTTGACTAATCTGTGCGCGCGGAGTTAAATCTGTCGAGGGGATTTAATGGATTACCGCGATGATAATCCGCCTAATCCTACTCGGTATTCACCATGGTTTTATTCGTTTTAATGAATTTTGTGGCCGTCAGTTTACTGGTACAAGTACGAGCAAGGCGATACGGAAAAAAATGTATGATCGCACAGTTGATTACCTTAAAGGAGGGGGAGGTGGGTGGCCGAATGGTTAGCACGTGCGTGCTGTATCGCAAGGCCCGTCATTGAGTAGGGTCGCCTGTCCAGCCTCGTGGGTTTTCTCCGGGTCCTCCGGTTTCCTCCCACTGCTAAAGACCCCTACGCGCAAGCGAATTAATGAAATAAAATCAAACCATATGTTAGTCCCGAAATGACCTAGTTTGTGTCGAGTGGATGTTAAACTCCATTTCTCTCTCTCTCTCACCTTAAAGGAAGAAGCAGTAGCGAGAATTTAGAAACAGGTACAATGCACTTTGATAAAATATTTAAAAATCTGTCAACTGTTTGTGTTAAAAATGTATTTATTTCAACTATACAACAATAACACTGAAATTTACGGTAATTACAGCAAATATTTTTGGACATTTAGTCACGTGATTAGTTGACGTATTAGTGGACTCAAATTTAAATCTTATTCTTAGCACACACGGTAATTATGCAGTGATTTTGAAAATTATTTGAAAAATGATTACAGTACAAAGTCGATAGAGGACGGATCCTACTGAGGTATCTGTCACACTACTTTCATCTTTAAAAACATCGAGTAGTAATCAGCACAAAGTTGACAATCTGCGCACCAATTTGATACGCGCAGATTACAATCGGCGCGCGCAGGGTCCAATCTGTGCGGACAGAGTGGACTCTGCGCAACACGGCAGCGCAGATTGCAATCTGTCCGGGAGGGTGAAGAATACGCCCAACATATATTTACACTCAAACCTCTGCAAGCTAAAGTGAACTTGTGTCGTAATAAACAGTGAAATCCCTTGAAAAGGACAGTGGTATTAAACAGGAAAATTTCCAGACTACAATATGATACTGAGAGACTGTGGAAATGTGCCATTGAATTAACTGGAGGTGTCGGCGAGACAAAATGAACCCGTCCCCTTTTCCATAATCTTTGTGACCCCGATAAAGGCTACAGATTTTTTTAGTCAAATTGGGTGCGAAGCTTTGGGGTTATGAGAAGAACCCTATCGATATTCAGCGTTCCGTAAACGGTGTTAACGCGAAAGAGGTCTACAGTTTTTAACGGATTTTTGTCAAATTTGATGTGAAGCATTGGATTCATTGGAGGATGTTCGTTTCTGTTGATTTTCAGCATTCTATGGCTTTCTGTTCAAGAGATATATAACGCGTCCAAAAAAGCTTGTGAATTGAAAGCGATTTCTTGAAGGCATAACCATATCAACATCCAAGCTTTCCTTTCGAATAAGCTGCTGTCTACGGCTATCGTTTTTTCTAAACATAGCTGCTGTGTGGGCGTATTTCCATGCTTTCGGTAGTTATCTGTTTGTGTTTGAGAGAACCGATCTGTCGTGCCTTTATCCGATCGTAAAATCATCATTATGGAGTGTCATCGTCGTGATTTGATGTTATTACAGTCAGAATTGCAAGATTAAAACGTTGGTCATTGCGTCTCAGTAGTGTCGCCACTTCGGCCCTAAGGATTACACAGAAGGTTGTCCACATATTTTGTTGTCAGGGTTTTTGCATCGTGATAAAAAGATATACACTTACATTTTATTTTTCAGGAATACCGCTGCTTTATTCTGTTATTTATAGTAGCCTGAGAGCTTCTTCGGCTAATGAAAGGTACGTAGACAAGTGGCGGTGTATATCCTCCAAGCTCGACAACTTTAACAACAATAACTTTCTTCCAGAAATTGAAAACGGATCATTTTGAAGTTTTTGGTCGTTTCGCTCTCAGGTGGCTACGAGAGAAACAGCATAAATTCAACCTCACATTGTATTTCAAGAAATCTCTGCACTAAAGTATATAAACTCTTCTTCGTCCATACACTTGTTTAGATGTGTGATAACACTGAAATCACGTAACTGTTCAAAAATATAGTTCAAAGACAGTGAAGATTTTAAGTCAAAATTGTACAAATGCTCTGATAATCGAGAAATGACAGCGATTTTTTTTAAATCGACCTCAACGGTATCTTCAAGGCAGGAATCGCCTTTGACATGAACATTTTTCATTCATGTCAAATTACCAAATAGCCAGACACAAAGATTCTCCAAGGCTAAAATAGACACCGATTTTATTTTTGTCGATAGTATTCAATGAAATACAATTACAGCGCGACGTTCCTACTTGTTATTACTAATTTGTGTATGATGTCTACTTATACAAAATATCCCACCATGTTTTATATTGCATCATTTCTTAACAAAGACAGGGGATGCTTGACCAATTTTCTCCTATATGGTATCAATATGGATACTCCATCACTACAAATGTCTGGCAATTACATAGCTCTATCAGGGGGTACCCCACCGCTAGAAATGTTTGTCAGAGTGTTTTAGTAATACCTGAAGATGTATGGTACATTGCTGTGCGATTTTCATGTGGTACACTTTTGAGCTAATCTAGACTAGTTGGGGGCATGGCATTTTGGGCGTGGAATACCACACCCACCACCAGAAACCCGGCAGACTTACATTCTGATGATACCAGATATACATACATTGATACCATATAGGAGGGGGGATGGCTGAATGGTTAGCGTGCGCGCGCTGTATCATAAAGTGTGTCATTGAGTCGACTGGCGTGGTTTCGAATCCCCGGTTGTACGTGACAAGGAGTAGGGTCGCCTGTCCGGGTCCTCCGGTTTCCTTCCACTGCTAAAGACCCCTACGCGCCAGCGAATTATGTAAATAAAATTAAACCATGTTAGTCCCGAAATGACCTAGTTTGTGTCGAGTGGACGTTAAACCCCATTTCTCTCTCTCTCTCTCTCTCTCTCTCTCTCTCTCTATACCATATAGGAGAAAATTGGTACACTTTTCAGCTCGGTTAATCCCCTGGGTTCCCGCTCTATTATCAGTCATGATTCTTTGTTAAAAAAATTAGCAAACATTCGTGGACATTGGCACATATTTCACAGCATTGAGTCTGTACTAATTTATAATGTTCTTTGTCTATTTCAGTTGTTGGGCGAAGAGTTTTGGTCAATATGAATGGATTATTTATGCTCCCAATTTACTGTGCCTTGTTGTAAGTAGTATTTGTTAGTGTTTTATTGTAGGTGATGTTAGGGACACATTTAATTTCCTATCGACAGACGGTTCGACTTTGTTTCCGGAGAATATCTCATTAATTGTTCAAGATATTTTGTTAAGAAACCCTGTACCCCTTTCCATCAAAACTCCAAACTCCAAAAAGTACAGAATACAGCTGCCAGTATCATATCAAGAACAAACAAGTCATCACACATTACCCCTGTCTTGGAATCCTTACATTGGCTTCCGATTCCGATTTATGCGCGTTAGGCTGGGTACAGCACCCTCGTATGTGCTAACTGTATACAAACCAACTTGTACTTTGAGATGCCAGCATCAAAACAATTTGTGCATTCCATCATCAAAATTAAAATTTCGTCTCAAGCCTATTGTGATTACTAAAATTATTAGGCTTTCGTCTGAAAGCCTATTGTGATTACTAAAATTATTATTATTATTCTTTATCCTTGCCGCTTATATCTCGAAGGCTGTCAGAGATATCGATCAATGGTTTCGTTTTCTAATGGAAAACTATGTGACTGCTACTCTGAAAATCAATTTCCAAAGTTCTGTCTAGAACGGAAGTTTCATTCAGAGTTATCGCCCTTTTTTCGAATATTTTCCAATTTTCTACACCGATATTTCTGAAACTTCTGGAACATGATGTCATATGGTCAAACCGAGGGATAAAGCTATCGGAAAATGATCCGTAAACCGGAAATAGTCGAAATAATGTCCGAATTTGTGAAAAAATGCAAAAAATTGATACTTTTTGGGAAAAACGCGATATCTTCATCGGATATTATCGGATTGAAAAAACTAAAGTATTGTTGAGCGGCCTGATAAATGAACTACCATATGATTTCAAATACAGTAGGTACCGATGATTAGGGCGAAAAATATGGCATTTGAGCGTTTTTGGACCCCTTTATCTCGGAAACTAATCAAGCGATATATCTTAAACTTTTCTCTATGGAGAGTCCTTTAGATGGTCTTGTACAGGAAGACATCCAGTAATATTTTGAAATAACTGAAATGGTACAAAAAAGGGACTGAAAATCGAAAAAAGTCGAAAAATCATTAAATTTTGGAAAATGGTCTATTTTTTTTTTATTTTTACATATTTTCCAAAAAGGTTTATATATTTAAATAGCTGACCTAATTACAATTCTAACGATGTTTAATATGTATTGAGTTATTGAAATTTAATTTCCGAAATTTTGACATTTTTGAGACTTTTGAAAACAGGATTTCTCAGGGCAATTTCATCCGATCAACTAATGTAATATATCATTTTACACGCCTTGGGATGTTATTTCCTTTGATCTCCCATGCATGTTATGAAACGTATCAACCTGTTGTGACGCCATCAGAGGGTGATATCTGATATCGAACCTAGGGACATTTTATTCACTCTTTTGTACAATGTTGGTAAACTTTACTAGGCCCATGTTACTTGGTTTCTTCATCTGACCATCAAGAACTAAAACTCTCAAATGCTGTGTTGTGTAGTATATCCACAGAGTAAAAATACACAGTGGCGACTCGCATTACGGCCAATAGAAACACTGCGACGCGCAATGCATCTTGGGAATTGTCTGTAATAAACACACACTGACAGTTCGCTCAACGACGTTACGATATCTATATCGATGAACTAAATCTCTTTAATTTTGTAGTTTTATAGTATTTTCGGTAACAAAACTACTGAGAATTATCACATACAATCATAATATAAATATGTTAGTTGTGTGTGTGTTTCGGGAATTTATAAAACATGATTCATATTTTTAAAACATGCATAAAGCGTGGTACGGCCCGGAATGAAAGAAGTGAGACTGAGACGAGAGACGGCATTTGTGACGGTTTACGAATTGGTCTATTTAAGGCCGTAAATTATTGTCGATTTTAAAGCTAGGTTTTATTAACTTTGAAACCATTCCACCAAATACTTGTTGTTTCCATTCCTAGATTTGAAATGTAATTTCCATACACCTTAAAATGCGCCATTTAAAAATGTCAAAGTGCCACGCCCTTTTTCTGATAAGGCCTATTTTACTCTTCATCAACATGATTTAATTTTTCTCCCAAAGAAAAATTCCTTTGCCTTCTAGAGCTTATTACTGTGTGCTTCTTTTATTTATGTTATGTTAATAAAGTAAGCTTTCATTAAAATATAAAATAATAATTTAAGAATATTAAAATTGAATTTCAAATAGGCATATAACGTTTTCCAATAAACAGATTTGAGCCATTGGTTGTTTTCCAAGATAAAATACCTTTGGCTCCAACGTTGACTTACCGTGTGCTTTTATGATTTTTGTTCTATTAATTAATGTAGGCTTTCATTTTTAAAAAAATAAAATAATTAAAGATATTAAAATTCTATTTAAATAGGCCTATAACATTTTTCAATAAACATTATTTGAGTTGATTGGTTTCTCTTTTTACAAACAAGTATTCCAAAAACAACTTGAGAATGAATATTTTGCATATTGCTCTGGGTATCATGTAATGTTTTGACGGCCTTTATAGGCCCCCTAATGAAATTGTCCATTTTACACTACTGCACAAGAATATATTAAATTATTATAAATCTGAAGTTTGCTCTAGATATCCATGCCATTAGGCCTGATCTGTGTTCAGAGTTACTTTATTTTTGTGATTTTTTTTGTCAACTGATTATTTAGAAATAGAAAATTTAATTTATACTGTGTACTATTATGGAATTATCTGCCATACAAACTGAAGTTAGCCATACAGCATACTGATACTATATAGATAATCACAGAGTAAATTAAAATTATTTTGAATTACTGAATGGTTTAAAATTACTGATAGTGCTTCAGTAAATATTTTATTGGTCGGATTAAGGCCTACCCGTAAAAGGGGAAATGTGATTTTGAATAGCATAACTGCATAACAGTATTAGGCTTACTGTTTTATTAAAAGCTTATTTCAACTGAAAATTGAGCAAAATAATATTTTTGTTATGAAATTTGGAAAGGTATATAAATATAACATACCATAAACTTAACACTTTAAAAATTGTTTACCACAAGTAATTGTAGGCCTACATAGAATCACATTTTGCGATACACAATCTTAGAAAAAATCAGGCTTGTCCATTATCCTTTTGCCAGAATACAACAGATTTTTCAGAAAATATAGTTAGTTCCCTCGCACATGATTCTTTTTCAATTGCTTTTAATGACAACATATGAATCTAAATTTATTTTATTCGGTAGACTGTAGGCCTATTATTGTGTTTGTAGATTTTATTTGTTTTTACAAAAAATATAGAACCCCGGAATGTAAAAAGAACATGTGCAACTACAGACATTAATAGCACATTGATTTGATTTGATTATCATAAGATAAAGACGTATAGGCTAGAGATCTACTTCTTCTAGGCCTACGCCTACAGTACCCAGTACTCTACATTGGAATATATCATAATAATATGCAATATAATGCCAATTAAGCCTAACCAATCAAATATGAAAACATCTTTCACCAAATATGTACTCTTACAAAATAAAATTTTTGATGATAGATGTATATATTGCTGTTCTTATAATCTATTAGATCTATGTTATTATGGCTCAGTATTTATTATATATTTATAGCACTAGGCCTAGCACTCGACGATGACTCGTATCGACATCGTACTCGTACTGGTAGCAGACGACGCGACGTAGACTGAGCTCTTTTTCTTCAGGAATGCTGAATGTTTTTAATCCCTCAATAGTCCCTAAAATTAAAACACCCGGCATAGGACCTACTCT